AAGAAGCATATCAAGGTTCTGGAGTGGCCTAGCCAGTCTCCAGACCTCAATCCAATAGAACATCTTTGGAGGGAGCTTAAACTCCGCGTTGCTCAGCGACAGCCCCGAAACCTGACAGATCTAGAGGAGATCTGTGTGGAGGAGTGGGCCAAAATCCCTGTTGCAGTGTGTGCAAACCTGGTCAAGAACTACAGGAAACGTTTGACCTCTGTAATTGCAAACAAAGGTTTTTGTACCAAATATTAACACTGATTTTCTCAGGTGTTCAAATACTTATGTTCAGCAGTGCAAGACAAATAAATTCTTTAAAAATCATACAATGTGAATTTTTTTTTTAATTCTGTCTCTCAGAGTGGGAATGCACCTACAATGTGAATGTCAGACCCCTCCATGATTTCTAAGTGGGAGAACTTGCAAAATTGCAGGGTGTTCAAATACTTCTGTTCCTCACTGTACAGTAAAGTCATTAAAGTCTTTTACCATTAGTGTGTGAGTAGAATGATGGGAATAAACAATATGTTGAGTTTTGATTCGGTCTTTTAGGGATTAAATTCCACTGTTTACCCACAAAGTGACTTATTCCATCTAAAAGCGAAGAGACATCTCAGCTGTGAGGTTCAGGGATTGTTTCAACTAATCACAGACACAAAGGACGAGCTGTTTTTTTTTTTTTTTTGTTTTTTTTTTTGTTTGACTGCTGTTAAAATCCTCTGCAGACCTATGGTGGCGCCCTGCCACCGACAGCTACAGGTTTGTGTCTGGGTTCAAAGAAACACAAAGCCAAACTGTGATTTATGGATGTGCACAGTATTTGTGTTCATGTAACACTGTCCTTCCTTCCTCCTTCAGTTGACATTCGAGAGATCCGGGAGCTGCGGCTGGGGAAGGGCTCCCGTGACTTTGAGCGCTACCCGGAGGAAGCTCGTAAACTGGACTCCGCCCACTGCTTCATCGTGCTGTATGGCCTGGAGTTCCGCCTCAGGACGCTCAGTTTGGCCGGTCAGTGTGTGTGTGTGTGTGTTACATTTGAACATGTTCTTCACTGTACTAGAGGCTGAAGGTCACACAGCATCCTTGTTTCATTTGACCAGTATCAGGGCCCTGTTCTTCAAATGGGATTTGACTAATTCAAATTAAAATTATCCTGTTATTTCCCATCCAGCTAATTTGGTTCTTAGAAAGCAGTTTGAGGACTGATCTGTTGATTCGTTATCAAGTTGCCTTGAGAGGTGGAACCATGATGCCTTGTATTTGCCTTAAAATGTATTTTAAGGACTCATGTGGTTTGTGGGTCTCATGTTTATAGTTTTGGTTGCAGCCAAGTTCATTTCTGACATCCTGGAACACAGTCGCATCTCTGTCATGGGTAAAAAATATTTTTTTAAACCATCACCAGTTGCAAGCAAAATAATTTTATCGGTAGTCGCCACGTGTGCACTGTGAACATGCATCAATTTACAGCGTTGCGGTTCAAATATGACCAACTCTTGTAGCACACAGTTTTCGCCTGCGGTTAAGGAGTATTACAACATTTCAGATGGGCTTCCTGTTGGCTCTACCTCCAGCGTCTCGTCTAATCATTTGTCTGACACTTGTGGGGAGCTCACACTGTTTCCAGGTCTCATTTATTTTATAGCTCATTAAAAGTGATGACAAAACTACAAAAATAAGACCCATGGCAAGTTCCAGTAAATTGGAAGCAGCCTTTAGATATAAGCTACACCAGCCTATGCTCACGGTCAGGTGTTTGCTCCCTCTGTTGTCTCTCTCTGTCTGTACAGCTTTCAGTGAGGAGGAGGTCAACATGTGGATCACTGGTCTCAGCTGGCTGATGGTCGACACTCAGAGAGCGCCAGCACCACAGCAGATGGACAGGTGCGTGTCAATGTGCATGCCCGTTATCATCTGTAAATCCAGTCTGTCTGCTGGAATACAAAACCGGTTTGTTTTGTTAATCGATTAACTAATTTGTCAGGTAAAAATGGGACAAAAAGTGGTTCTCACATCCAAAAGTGTGACTGTTTGCTGATTTTCTTCTGACTGTGAACTGAACATGTCTGAATGTTGGACATTTGAAGCATTACACTGGCCTCTAGGAAACCGTGATCAACATTTTCCACTGTTTTCTGACTCTTGACTTGAGTGAATGATTAATGGAACAATCAAGAAAGTGATCAACAGATTGATACCGTACTTTCCGGACTATAAGCCGCTACTTTTGTAGCTTCATGCACACACCCTCATCATGGACAACACGTGACGAAAGGCGTATGATGCCGCTTCAAGTTACAGGCGATCGATCTGGCTGTCGAAATATCTCATGTTACAATATGGACACCTGCGGCTATGTACAAACTGTTTTTTCGTCTTGCATTTAGTGGGTGTGGCTTATAGTCCGGAAATTACGGTAATCATTATTTTCAGCCCCACTTTCCTTTTGTAGACAGTCTAGTTTTGGATTTCCAGGGTCATTAGAAGTTTAGAATTCAATCATCTGAATTTTAGGCTTTAAAAATTATTTATTTAGGCCGATTATTTAAACATTCAGGTGACATTACTTGTGTGATGTTGCATTAACTTCAGTTATGCTTTGACATGTTTTGCCTGAAATGTTGGGGTGACAAACTGTTGTAGTACTGTATATTTATACTATGTTGTAGTTCTTTCTTCAAGAACTACTGCAAAGTAACTAAGTCATAATCAATGTGAATTCTCACCTGATATTTCTTACATAGTTGTTTTTGCCAGTATAAGGGTGAAATAGGCCCTAAATTGCGTTCAGTTGTCAGAAAAAAGGTCTCAAATTTAACGTGATGAAACCTGCAGATTCATGACAGAAAAGGCATCAACACACCCAGAGAAACTTGTCTGACTACTTCCTGCTACTGATCCGTGTGTTCAGTCTTTTCCTAACTGCAGCTTCACCAGAACTGTACTTTGATAAAAATTCTGACTTCCAGTGGAGACAGGTTTTCATTGGAGTGTTCCTCCAAATGTCCACATCTGAACACACTGTGCATCCATTCAGTTTGAGTTTATATTGTCAGAGTTCTGGGCCGACTCACTCACACAAAAGATTTGTGTGTTCCTAAAGCACTTGACACTGCTACACCTCCGGCATGGACAGCTGATTTCCACTTGCACCTACAGAAGTAGCAACTTGGACAGGAAGAGGAGTTGCTGGTCGGAAATGAAGAAAAATATTTATTTTGGGATGAAAATATTTGCTCCAGATAAACATGCGGAGGCAGTTGTTGGCCTTTGTGGTAAGAGCTGCAGAACAGAGCGGCTGTGAAGAAGTGCAGGAGAGGGACAGGGTTGTGCTGTCGGGATAATGTGAGCAGTACATGTTTAGAAATGCTCACAGGAAATGAAACGGCCAATTTTGTCTGTTTATGACAGTTGTGTAAACAGTTTGGGGAGTGGAATCTTCTTGCCGTTGCTTCACATTTACATAATGGTGGCACAGTAGTGCAACGGTTAGCACCGTCACTTCATAGCAAGAATGGTCCGGGTTCAGGCCCCGGCCGACCCGGGGCCGTTCTGTGCAGAGTTTGCATGTTCTCCCTGTGCTCTAACCACTGTTTCACCCTAGACAGAATATGATTTCTCAGATTTGCAGTAATAAAACCTGGCAGCCAAACATAAACCTGGGTGAACGTTGACTTATCCAGGAGAGCCCCATGTTTTTGTTTCTGAAGAGTAAATGGAGATTCGGGGAAAACCACAGTGAGCGGTGCCTCCTATTCTGTATTGAAGTGACATTGAGCCCTTCTCAGTGCTGGCCACAGATATTCCACAAGTAAATTCACAGTACAAACACTGAATGTGCTGATGAACTAAAAGTCTTGTTTTTGGTAGTTACATATTTGACCAGATACGTAATTGAAAGTGTAAACATGTTTTTGTTAAGAAATATTTATTTTAATCTTAGCCAGCAGCAGTGCAGTGCAGGAAGCAGGCTTCACAAAGCCTGTGATTTCCTTTTGTAGTTTCAGTTTAATTCTTATAATAATTAATGCATGCACTAGTTGACAGTATCAACATAGTTGGACCCAAAAATTCCCACCCACTACAGAGCAGTAGTACAGGGGGCATAATCACTGCAGGAAAAATAATCCAACTAATATTTCTTGTGGTAATTTCAAATTTAACTCATTAAATACACGAGTCACAAACAAACACTATGTGCTGATGCAGTGTGAAGTGCATTTAACCCATCTGCTATTGTTTCATTTTCTGCAGGACACAGGTGAGTTCAAATTATGATTTTCAGCTCTGCCTTAACTCTGCTCTGTCAGTCTCATGTTTGGTTTGTCTCCATCTCTTCCTCTGTAGGTGGCTGAGGAAACAGTTTGAAGTCCTGGACAGGAACCGTGAGGGCAGGTGGGTGACTCGCCACAATCATGTCAGCACCTAATCATAGCCTTAGCAGCAGCCTGTGATGGATGCTCGTCGGCTGGTGAATCGCAGCAGGAGGAAGGTGAAGGTGAAACCAGACCCAGATGTGATCAAAGAGCCTGGTGCACCTCTGCCCCGACCTTAACGGAGCCTCCACATAAAGCACGCACACACGTTCTCTGTCTCACATTTGTCCAGGCTTGTGTTTGGGTGGAAGCCGCTCCAGGACAAACAGCCTGCCGCCACCTGATAAGGAGCAGGAAATGATGCAGTGGGCTGGGAGAGGTCAACTTCCTGTCTCCTGTGAAAATAGCAACAGCAACAGTAGCTAGACAGAGGAAGTGGGAGGAGAGGCGGGTTAGGTCGGGTGGTGACAGCAGGCGGCCGTCCTCTCTGCTTCGAGTCTTTTCTCTACCCGCTTCTCTGACTTCAGTTGCTGACCGTCAGGAATGTTTTGTTAATCTGCTGTAGTTGCTGATAAACCCCAGAATGATCTCACCTCAGAGTTTATTTGTCAGCATATCTGCTGTTTTCAGTCATGTCCCACAGTCTTCATCAGCAGGGGGAGTTTACTGTGTTTTGAGGCTGTTGTAGATTTCACATTTCCATTTTTATGGGCATTTCTTGTCCATGCTGACTTAAAGTGTGAGGTTAAAAGTTCAGTCATGCTTAGTACTGTACTGATGTTCTTTTCCAGCATCACAGTGAAGGACGTGAAAGCACTGCTGCCTCAGATCAACTACAGAGTCCCCAACATGCGCTTCCTCAAAGACAAGCTGCAGGTCAGACTTGAACACCAGTCTCTTTGTTTTAATATGTCGGTTGTTCAGTCTTCAGCGCGTGTGTCCTCCTGACTCGACTGGCTGCTCTGTGTCACTAACTCGCATCTGCCCTATCTGCACAGGAGGTGGAGGCCAGAAGCGACCTGTTGTTCCACAACTTCGCACAGCTCTACAGAACTCTGATGTTTGATGCACAGAGGAGTGTAAGTGTCAGCTGTGGGTCTGTTCACACACACAAACAGGCCTGTGGAAAACCTGCCTGAGCCCAGTGTGTGTAAATGAATTGTCAAAGAAAAATCAGAACGCTGTTTCAAAAGAGACCCGGGTCAGTCTGAAACAGGCCTGAGCAGAGAACTCCAACACTGGCAGTAGCACGATGCTCCAGCAGCCAACAGCAGCTGTCTGCCCCATAAAGCTCGGTTTGCTGCTGTGATCAGAGTAGTTACATATACTAGGAGTTGCCACTCAGACCTCAGACCTTCATCAATACAGCAGGACCATTCCAGACCTTTCAGGCTGAATATAATTTGGAGCTGGCCTGACGTGGGATTCAGAAACATTTATTTACAACAATGTTTCCTTGTTTCCTCTCTCCTGGCGTCTTTTCCTTGCATCTCTCCTCACGTCTTCACTGGGAGGGACAAGGAGACACAGAAGAGGAAATGTGGATAAAGAAAATGTGAATTTTCAAAGTAATGAGCAACATTAGCAGTCAGATTGTTTTTCTTTATCCAGCTCAAGGATCTGAGGGTAGTGTGTGTCAGATATTTCACAGATTGCCTTTTAAAATAAATCTCACGTAAACCAGCAACCCTGATCCTGTTTAGATTAAATGAAGGGGAAGTAGAAAGTGTCCCAACGTGGAAAAGTAAAGTTTGAGTGAGTCCAGTACTCGACTACCTGATTGTACCAGTACATTGTTACTCTCACCTTGTGCATTTGTGCCCCACCACGCTCACTTTGTCCTTTACTATTTCTGCCTCACCTGTCTGTCACCTGGCCCTGCCCCTTCTTTTCCTCAGATTATTGAGCAGCTGGAGCTCTCCTTCCCTCTGCGGTGAGTCCCTCCACCTTCATCCCCTCGTCTTCACGCCCCCCACTGCTGTCCTCCTTGCTGTCCAGTCTCTCCTTATCGCTGTTTCAGGGAAAGTTTTGCTTTTCAACACAGTGAAGCATTTTTATTAGTTTTTGCCATTTTATTGGTACTTTAATGTTTTTCTTAAAGCTATGGGACATGAACCCCATAAAATAAATTACAATGAGTATACTTAGTGTAATGGTAGCTGCCAGACAGGCATTGTTGGTGCAACTTTCATTCCACGGCTGTCTGACCCCGTGAACCTTGTGTTTGCAGGAATGTTGACAGACCGGAGCTCTGTCAGATCTCCCTCTACGACTTCCAGAAGTTTTTACAGATGGACCAGAAGGTACGGAGCCAGTTTGCTGCCTGTTAGCACAAATGCAGTAAACACTCTGTAAAAAGTGTTCTGTACTCACTTCTTTATCCGGCTCATTTCAGGAGTCCTGGGCATCAGATCTGAGTCGTGTCAGAGAGTTTCTCGTGAGCTACATGAGGGGGGCGCCGCAGCCAGAGCCGATTCTGCAACTGGATGAGGTGGCAATGCACAAGCATACAAATGTGTGCAAAACTTGAACCAAACAGACATTTTCTTACCTTCCTGGTCATGTGACTTTGTTTTCCTAGTTCCTGACCTTCCTGTTCTCCAGAGAGAATTCTGTGTGTGATGCCCGACTTTCACCTGTTGTTCACGATGACATGAAACGGCCTCTGTCTCAGTACTGGATCTCCTCTTCACACAACACGTATGTTCTCACATCCTCCATTACAAACACAGGCCCTTATGTAGAGAGTCACTGGTTATTCTCATCTGTAATTGAAACACTCCAGACTTTGGAAAAACTACATATGGAAACACTGAGTCATCCTTGTGCATCTGGTGTTGACAAGGTTGAGTTTCACAAAAGGTGCCTTCCATAAAACAGAAACTACAAATATACCTAGTTTAATTAGCAGTTAGCAAAAAAGGTAAGCCTTTCTATGAGTAGTACTGGGTTACATTAAGCAGGTACAGTAAATTTAAAGTTCCTTCGTGTAATTCAGAATCAAACCCACCTGACTCCTGAATGGACTGATGACTTGCTGCTTTCTTTATCAAATGAAATGTGTAAATAAGACTGTGTTAAAGCGGATTAAGGTTTTTGTAACAGACTTGTTTGCTAAGCCAGGCTTTCTGGACTGAATGTAGTGCTGACGCATATAGAAATAACATGGTTTAGTTAGCAAATCATGTGAGGCTGATGGACCGATGCTGTCTCAAAATTAATTCTGTAAATAAGACAGTTTTAAAGTTTTTCTTTCAACACAGAACATGTTTTCCCCATTTTCAGTCTTCGTGCTAATCCAGGCTAAACACGTTATATAGACCTCGCTAAAACAAAAAGCTGATGGATCAGAAGACAGAACAGAAATCAGTTAATCATTCAAGTAGTTTGTCAAGCCAACACATTCTGTGTCAGGGCAGTTCAGACAAAATGTAAAAAAAACAAAACAAACTCAGAACAAGAAAACAAAGTATTGCTTGAGTGTTATTGCTATAATGAGCCTGTCCCTGTTGCCATTATCCCAGCTACCTGACAGGTGACCAGTTTTCCAGCGAATCATCTTTAGAAGCCTATGCTCGCTGTCTGAGGATGGGCTGCCGCTGCATCGAACGTAAGAGTCAACACTTTACTAACGCTGAACTCTGAAGAAAACTAATTGAGTTGAATTTTAGTTTTTTAGAATAAAGTCAAGGCAACAAATTTTTGCTGCACTTCACTTCATTTCATGTATAGTGCTGTTAAACTGCTGAATATCTTAAACCTCGACTAGCAACTTGAACAGTATTTTCTGATCTCAGTGGACTGCTGGGATGGACCCGATGACCTGCCGATCATCTACCACGGCCACACGCTAACTTCCAAGATCAAATTCCTGGACGTGCTTCATACCATCAAAGAACATGCCTTCGTCACATCTGAGTAAGTGTGGTGTTGGTGGTGCTTACTCCACCTTTACGCACTTTATCACATACATATGGTCCTGACTGGCCCAGATGTTAGTAAATCTCACTCACTAAAACCATGATCCAACCTTCATTTCAAATGTAAGATGACACACTAGTTTGTTGTTTTAAGGGATTTTTCTTCTCATCCCTTCTTGTTAAAAAAGCCGCAGTGATCCAACACATTGGCCCTGCTGAGGTTATCACTGTATCCATCCATAATGCTCAGTATGTGAGTGTTGTCTGGGTTTGTTGGGACACCTGTCAGTGACAAAGCCAGTGCTTTCCAACAAAGATTCAAGTTACCTGGTTAGTTCATCTGGACCAGCACTAACTGCTTTATCAGCACTGCTGCTGTTTGGAAATGGAAAATTCTGCAGATGGCAGCTGTGAGCACATTTTTGCATCATCCAGAGGTGAACACGTGAGCTGCTGGTGTGTTTGTGCAGGTATCCTGTGATCCTGTCTATTGAGGACCACTGCAGCGTTGTCCAACAGAGGAACATGGCCACGCACTTTAAGAAGGTGTTTGGAGATCTGCTGCTCACCAAGCCAGTCGATAACAATGCAGAGGAGCTTCCTTCGCCCTACCAGCTGCGCAGAAAGATCCTCATCAAGGTGCGCGCGCGCGCACACACACACACACACACAGTTTATGTTTTGTAGTCCATGGGGACTTTACATTGACTTACATTCATTTCCTGTAGACTAACCCTAACCTTAACCAGAACCACTACTTGCCTAACCTTAACCTAACCCTAACCTCACCCTAACCCTAAACCATGTTGCCACCCTAAAATTCAATTTCTTACCCATGGGGACCTCAATTTAGGTCCGCACCGTGAAATGGTGTCACAAGTAGAGCAAATCAGCTGCTGCATCCTAAGATGTCCATACTTGAGACTGGACTGTCTTATTTCTAAAAGTCGGGTGATAAATCTCTCCACCCATCATCTACTATGTACCCCTGGAGAGAGGGAGGGAGGGAGAGAGGGGTCGGTTGGTCGGTCATGGAGCCAATCCCAGCTGACACTGGGCGAGAGGTGGGGTCCACCCTGGACAGGTCGCCGGTCTGTCACAGGTCTGACACTTAGAGACAGACAACCACACACACTCCTACGGGCGATTTAGAGTCACCAGTCAACTTAACCTGCATGTCTTTGGACTGTGGGAGGAAGCTGGAGAACCCAGAGAGAACCCACACAGGCACGGGGAGAACATGCAGACTCCACACAGAAAGGCACCGGGTCAGCCCGGGCTCGAATCCAGAACCTTCTTGCTGTGAGGCAACTGTGTTAATCATGTCACAGGGTGATAAATCTGATCAATCCCGGTCCTCAAGGGCTGCTGCCCTGCTTGTTTTTCAACTACCCCTGCCCTATCCACTGCTGATTACCTGGATCAGGTGTGTTCAGTCCATCAGAAGCTGGAAGATACCATCTTAGATGAAGGTGGAGGGAGGAAAGAAAGTGAATTGGTATCTTCCAGCTTCTGATGGACTGAACACACCTGATCCAGGTAATCAGCAGGTAACCACCCCTGTTTTACAACATAGTGACTTTTTAATGGTATGTTGGGCTGGTCAGCCAAAATAGGATGAGCATGTGTTTACCAGGTATGTTCAGGTGCTCATCAGTTACTTGCAAGTTGTAAAAAAATGCTAGTTCTTGATGAGCGTGCAACCAAACTGTAGTTCATGTGTCTCAAGTTTTATCTCTGTCACAGCACAAGAAGCTGGTGGAGGGAACCCTGTACGAAGAGGTGACGTCGGCCAGCTATTCAGAAAACGACATCAGCAACTCGCTGAAAAACGGCATCCTTTACCTCGAAGATCCCATCGACCATGTGAGCATGAGCTGTGTGAATCATATGCTAACTGATGTGGTATACAGTGTTACTCAGGTGTTTTTCTGTCTTACAGACGTGGACTCCACACTACTTTGTCCTGACGAGTAATAAGATCTACTACTCAGAGGAGACATCTCACTACCAGACAGCTGATGAAGAGGAAGACGAGGATGGAAAAGAGGTAAGGAGGTGGTGACCAGAGCTGGAAGTGATAATTATCATCAAGACAAAACTGGTAATCAGGTAAACATTATGCACATGACATCTTCCTTCTCGACTCCCTCATTCCTCGCTGTCACTGCTCAGGAGTGTAACAACAATGAGCAGCACTGTGCCGAGCGCTGGTTCCATGGGAAGCTTGGTGGAGGCCGTGATGGTCGACAGGTGGCTGAGAAGCTGCTGCAGGAATACTGTGAGGGCGGGGGTAAAGATGGCACCTTCCTGGTTCGGGAGAGCGAGACATTTGTCGGCGACTACACCCTCTCATTCTGGTCAGTAACACAAATCATCTGTTTAAACCGAAAAACACTGGGAACTAGAAAAGCTGTTGCAGGTTACATGCATGTCTGTCCAGACTCGCAGTGAAGGAAAGATATTAGGTATAAACAAGTTGTAGCCATTGCGGCACAGACGATCTGCACAAACCCCGGGTTCCAGTATTAAGGTTGGCAAACGAGTAGTGACACCTGTTCTTTGACCAAATGTGAAAGGTAGTCACAGTCTCTCCTTCTGTTCCTCCTCTTATGCCATGGCGTAATATCACCCAGCTGGAGAATTAGCACCAGCAGCTGTTTAACTTGATGAACCGACTCCTAGTATTCACATAATGATAGTGGATGAAAATTTGTGTCGCCTTTCGCCCATTTTCTGTAAAGTTGACTGAAACGAGCACTTAAGGGAAACGTGGACTACAGCTTCCAGTGTATGAGATTTCTCTATGTTAGGATGAACCCAGGTGAAACATTCAAATTTGCAAAACGTAGGCTTACAGATTATTAAGATATTTTGGTTGCCTCTGAGGTGGTAGAAATGTAAATACTAACTCCCAGCATTGCACCTTCTTCCAGGCGCTCTGGTCGTGTCCAGCACTGCAGGATTCATTCACGTCAGGAGTTGGGCTCCACACGTTTCTACCTGACTGACAACCTGGTGTTTGACAGTCTCTACCGCCTCATCTGCCACTACAGAGACACGCCGCTGCGCTGCAACGAATTTGAGATGAGGCTGGGCAGCCCTGTGCCTCAACCTAACGCACACGAGAGCAGAGAGTGAGAGACAGAGAGTTGCACTAGTCTTTAATGGCTTTGTGTTAAACTGGTGATATTAGTAGGTCACAAAATAGGTTTCTGTTCTTCAGGTGGTACCACTCCAGTCTGTCCCGCGTTCAGGCCGAGCACATGTTGATGCGTGTGCCCAGAGACGGTGCTTTCTTGGTGCGGAAACGCAGCGAACACAACTCCTACGCTATCTCTTTCAGGTAGGACATAAGGGAGAATCACATGACGCAAAACTGAACTCATCTGGTTTGTGCTCAGCATGAAAATAGTTTGATTTCAAAGCTGTCTCATTTTTTTGTTGCTTTTCATTCCCTGCCTGTCTGCGTGTGTAGGGCAGAGGGAAAGATCAAGCACTGTCGTATCCAGCAGGAAGGGCGGCTCTTCATGCTGGGCAGCTCGGCAGAGTTTGAGAGTCTGGTCGACCTGGTGAGCTACTACGAAAAACACCCTCTGTATCGCAAGATGAGACTGCGCTACCCCATCAATGAGGACACTCTGGACCGGATGGGCACCACGGTCAGTGACACAGCTCGGGTCAAAGGAGCAGGTCGATGTTACACTGTGCTCTAGCCCAGTACCAAAACTTAACATTATGTGCATAAAGCATCCCATTATTCTTTTGTTTTTTCTTCCTTTAACAGACTTTGCTTAAAATCTGCAAATACAACAAACAAATGTAATGATGCTCTTGTCACAACAGGCATAATAACCAAAGAAGTGTTCTTTATCTGTTTATGTTGCAGGAGCTGGACTATGGGGCGCTGTATGAGGTTCGCACTCCTCATTTCTATGTGGAGGCCAATAAGATGCCCACAGCGCGGGTAAGTGAGAACACACTGAAGGGCTTGTGTACTTTGTAAATGTAAGTGTCTGAATAATTAACAGTAAAATTACTCATACCGTTTTGCTGTTTGGTGAAAACCTTTTCGAGTGAAAACCTCCACCTCTGGTATCTGAGCTTTTAGACATGTTGATGGGAGTGTCACCACCTGATCTGTTTTGTTCTACACATGTGCAAAGAAGTCATTTACGGCAGTGTCACATCCCCTCACCCAGTCATCTTGCCCTTAGTCCAACCCCGCAGGCAGTAGCTCCATTTCGTGCATGCATAATACAAATGGAAGAAGGCAAGAAGAGACGTCAAGAAAGAGTTCTGGGTAGATAAACTGTTTACTTTGGCGCCCCCCAGTGGTACTATCTAAAACAGCAGTAGATTACTGCAGATTCTTCACACTGAGCCAATTAGAAATGCACATCTCCTCAGTAAATTTAGTTTAGTTTGCGTTAGCCCTGTGAAGCACTGATGTTGTTGTTTTGCGTTTCAGTGCACAGTCAAAGCTCTGTATGACTATCGAGCTCAGAGAGAAGACGAGCTCTGCTTCCCCAAACAGGCGCTCATCCTCAACGTGGACAAACAGGAGGGCGGCTGGTGAGTGAGTCAGTGATGTCTGACCTCCTCTAACACATGGACGCTTGTCATTCACCTGTGTGTCATCTGTAGGTGGCGAGGCGACTACGGTGGGAAGAAACAGCTGTGGTTTCCTGCAAACTATGTGGAGGAGGTGCCCAGCTCTCCCACCAGAGAGCTGGATGAAGCAGTGAGTTCTTGTGCAAACACACAGGCAGCAAAGGATTAATTTCAAAATATTCTCAGTCTTCATTCCTGTATGTCCTTGCCGTGTCAGTCCACAGAGAACAGTCCTCTGGGTACGTTCCTCAAGGGCTTCATCGATGTACCCACCTGCCACGTTGGTGAGTTCAGTAAACAGACAGCTGGTGCATTTCATTTAGTGAGAACTGAAGACTGTGTGTATTAAGGTGATCAGATGTACAGGACACAGTTATTCACAATCTGACTTCCTTTGTACACATTTTTACTAATTTCTTATTACTCCATGAGTGTTTCAATTGTATTTAATTATGTAATTACGTATTACATAATTACACAAATGGCTGCAAAAACTTAAACTGATGATGAGGCTAACTGTTTACATTTTTAACCCATAAATATTCAGATGTTGCAGGGGGTGATCACTTTAAACTGCCGTCCCTGGTAGGCTAGTGGTTAAGGTGCAGCGCTCTTGCCGCTGTGGCCCGGGTTCGAATCAGGGTTACGTCAGGAAGGGCATCCGGCGTAAAACACGTGCCAAATGTCAACATGCGAGTCAGTATGATGATTCGCTGTGGCGACTCCTAAACGGGAAAAGCCAAAAGTGACTTTCTATATGAAATAACTGCATGTCTGTGCTGCAAATGTCCAGACTGTTTTTTTCTGAATTTTGAAAATAGTGTTTTGGTTTCTATTGCAATCTGCCCAAAAGCCTCCATCTGACTAGCAGCTCTGAAACTGTGCGTTGTTCACTGACTTTGGATAATGACAGCTTCCTTTCGTCCCTCCGTCCCCCCCCCCTTTCCAGTGATTCCTAAGGACGGGAGGAATGCTCGGCCCTACGTGTTCACGATCCACTCCCAGCAACTGCCTTCTCACCCGGTGCAGACCCTGGACGTGGCAGCCGACAGCCTGGAGGACCTGACCAGCTGGGTCAGCAAGATCAGGGAGGCTGCACAGAACGCTGATGCACGGGTACACGATACTGCACAAAACACACAAGGGCTCTACCATGCAAGCATTTCACTTGTATATGCGAGTAAACCTTAGTGTGTGCGACTGTGAAAAGTTATTCGGGCGTACATGTGCGACTGACTCGGAGGGCAGTGCCGAGCTCCTGGATACACGCTGAGACGCTGCGGTGGACAGAGAGGGAGCAGGTGAAACATTAAACAAGGAGAGAACACCTCTTTACTGTACATACAATAAAACCTCTGCGAGTAAAAAGCCAGTCAGAACAATTTATCAAAACACCTGCTGAATGGACATAAACTTGCAGAGCGGTGATCATTTCAGCTTTGCCCACAGACTGCCGCCCACAGACTGCCACCCACCCCCTGCACATGGTAACTATTGAGCTCCTTAGGCTAACAGCTAAGTACTGAGAAGTTGCATTGATGCATATAAGATGTCATCTTCAGGGGCTGTGGATCTAAAAAAGAAAACTCTCCAAGGAACACAATAAACGCTCGGTCTCCACATGGATTTGAATCAGGACCTCCTACTACGGGTATTATCTGTTGGCACCTGATGTGAGAAAGTATTTCTGGGAGGTGCATGCACTCAACGAACATATGATGCAAACATTTCTGGAGTGGTCCCTGGTCGCCACATTGAAGCTGAAATTTGTTTTAGGTCCAGCCTTTAACACTTTCCATCTGTTTATGTAATCAAGATGCTCTTGAAAATACATTTGACACTTCTAACAGTAAAAAAGTAACTGACATTTACAAAGTGATTAAAGTGATGTTGACATTATCTGCTTTATCTCCATGGTAACAGATGCAGGAGGAGAAACAGATGGAGAGGAGGAAGAAGATCGCAGTGGAGTTGTCGGATCTTGTGGTTTACTGCAGACCGGTCCCGTTCAATGAGGACAGTAAGGAGCACATTTCCCTTTTCTCTCTGGTCCTTTTTACACTTATTTCTGTTGCATATCTGTAACCTCCTGCTGCTTGCAGAGATTGGGACAGAGAAGGCGTGTTATCGGGACATGTCGTCCTTCCCAGAGACGAAGGCAGAGAAGTTTGCCACACGCGCCCGGGGAAAACGCTTCTTGCAATACAACCGCCGTCAGCTTTCTAGAGTGTATCCCAGAGGACAGAGACTGGACTCGTCCAACTACGACCCACTGCCCATGTGGCTCTGTGGCTCCCAGCTGGTTGCGCTCAATTTCCAGACTCCAGGTCAGTGTTAATGTGTGTGTGGCCTTTACTTGTGTTAGTATTTTGGAATATGTAGCAGCAATCGCAACAAAATCATCAGTCACACAAACAGTTGAACTCAATAAATTAATATGTCAGTTCATATTATGGTTATATACAGACTTAAGAGTCAGAAAATAAAAACAATTTGACTCCACATATTTTCTCACCTTGGGTAGAAATCCTTACAATTTTGTAAAGAAAAACATTGTTTAAAAAAAAGCCTTTAACAAGAAATGAAGCATCTGTTAAACCCTTTATTTGCAGTTAGAAACGTTAACGGCACAAATAAAAATGCTTCTTCTGATTAGCAGGGATTATACAGTAGTTGCATTTTGAATGCAGTACATAGAAGTGGCCACCAGGGGGAACACAACCTCGGTACAAGTTAACCACTAGTGTCACCTGTTGCATCCCAGCTCAGTGCTACACACAAGCAGTTCTGATATAAAAACAGCTTCTTTTAAGAAAATCTTACCTATTTAATAAATATTTACCTGCTCAGGGTACTGAAGCCTATTCAGTTATAACCAGGAGCACTTGACCCTATCACTAGTTTGTCTTGGAGAGGCTAATCTGTCTCAGGTTTAGCTCCTGAGCTGAGATGTGTGTTCAATGTGTCTCTGCAGATAAACCTATGCAGCTGAACCAGGCCTTGTTCATGCTCGGAGGGGGCAGCGGCTACGTCCCCCAGCCCGACATCATGAGGGATGACGTCTTTGACCCTTTTGACAAGGACACATTGCATGTGGAGCCGATCACCATCCAGCTACAGGTCAGGTTAAACAGACGGTCCTGTTGCACGTAGTCATGCCATCTCCAGCTTCTCACGTTCTTCCATTTCGCCACTCAGGTGCTGGGGGCCCGTCATCTGCCCAAAAATGGCCGCAGCATCGTGTGTCCCTTCGTGGAGGTGGAGATCTGTGGAGCTGATTATGACAGCTGCAAATGCAAGACAGATGTTGTAGGTAAGAAAGCTGGTGGCCATGATGGTGTGAAAGCTCTGTTTTACCACCGGTTGTGCACTGGGAGTCCCAACTGCCTCTGTCTCACTCCAAACAGCTGATAATGGCCTGAATCCTGTGTGGGTGCAGAAGCAGTTTGTGTTCGACATCCACAACCCCACCTTCTCCTTTCTGCGTTTCACCGTCTATGAAGAGGACATGTTCAGCGATCCTAACTTCCTGGCACAGGCGAGCTATCCTGTCCGTCTGTTACGAACAGGTCAGTGTGCTATGAAATCAACCCCCTCACCGAACAGAACAATTTCTGTGAACTGTAGATTGTGTTGAGTTAAAAATGAATTTTTCCTGCAGCTTTGACAGCAGGCTTGTAAGCAAAATGTGTCTGGCTTCATCCTCGGTGTTGATGGAGTTAAATGTTGTGTTGTCAGGCTACAGGAGCGTGCCTCTTAAGAACAGCTACAATGAGGAGCTGGAGTTGGCGTCACTTCTGGTTCACATAGAGATCGTCAATGCAAAGGTACTCAACATTTCTCTCACTATCCCCTGCAACAACTCAAGTCACTTCAGCAGGTAATGTGAACTGTTGGTTCTCCTAGTCCATGGGCAGGTAGGAAGACCAGAGTGATGACGTCCATGCCTCGGTGTGTCAGAGCAGTTCTGGTGGCATGCAAAGGACCAACAGTATATTAGACAGGGGAGGTCATTACGTGTGTCTCAGCGTGTATGGAGAGCAGAATTTTGTAAAACAATAACCATATCTAATGATAAATGTGAACACAGTCCAGTCTTGCTCAGTGTCACAGACACACTTGCATGTCTGACCATCTCTGTCCATTGTGGCTGCAGGAAGAAGATGATGAAAACTTGTACATGTCCATCCAGCAGTTGCGGGATCGAACCAGCGAGCTGTCCAACAAGGTTTCTCTCCTGGAGAGGTCGGGCTCAGCAGACCTGAGCTACCAGCAGAGTCTGGAGGAGCTGAGAGCAACTCAGGATCAGCTGAGCGAGCTGGTGGAGGCTCGAAACCGCAGGTGACAGACCTGTGTATCCACAGGAGAAACATCAGTTAACTGATCTGAGTAGACACCCATTTAAATTCCATGTCTTTTTAATTCATCATTTTTGCTGTAAACAATGAGTTGATTGATTCAGCAGCACACTGATTAATAACTCTGGTAAAACATTCAGAGGTTCCAGCTTCTCAAATGTAAGAATTAGCTATTTTTAAGTTGAGCATCTTGTGATTGTGGACATTTGGCTGAACAAAAGATGTGAGTCTCCTTGGACTCCAACAACCTCTGTTGCCAAGTTTTAACTTTCTGGACATTTTATAAACCGAAATGACTCAATTCTTTAATGAAAATGTTTGTCAGTTGGAGCCCTATTATTTTTTTGTGGGACTGCAACTAATAACTGTTTTCTTAATTGTCTTGTCTCTACTGTGCCAGAACTCACAGCGACATTAACATGTCCCAATCCCAGATATTCAGTTTCCCGTGACAGAGGACTAAAATAACCAGATTCACATTTGATTTGATTTGATTTATTCTTTCAAGCATGTAAAGACAGTTGATATGTCAACACACATAATTTTACACATATCCAACAAATGCTAATCCAATATCAATGTGCTTATACCTAGTACATGCTTGAATGGAGTAGGAAGAAGTCAGACTTATCCAGTCCTACCCCATGACATCATCTTACCATCATTGGTTTGCAAGCAGTAAATGATTCACTTCTACCCACACAAGTATTATACTAAAAAAGATTATACAGTGTTAACATTCGTACATAATTACATTCTTAAATAATTCTACACCACACAAGTAATATACTAAAGAATTATTACAAAGTGTTAACATTCATACACCACACCCACAATGTTCCATCTAATTAATCATTGAGCCTGTTCTTGCATATATCTTGATTGACACATACCTTTATATTTATGTTTAAACTCATCAATTCTATTACTATTTTTTATGTCCACACTTAAATTATTCCATAGTTTTACCCCACTTATGGAAATACAAAATCTTTTTTTGGTTGTACGTATAGCATGAATTTTTAAATTTAACTGACCCCTTAAATTGTATCCCCCTTCCCTTTCATTAAATAGTTTTTGAATTCCACCAGGTAATAAATTGTTCCTGGCTTTATACATAAACACAGCAGTCTTATATCCCACTAAATCAAAACATTTTAACAATTTAGACTGTATGAAAGCTACATTGGTGTGATCCCTGTACCCCATCTTATGCACAATTCTTATCGCTCTTTTTTGTAATATATACAATGGTTGAAGTGAGCTTTTGTATGTATTTCCCCAGTTTTCAACGCCATACTCTAAGTATGGTAAAATCAATGAAGAATACAAAATGCGTAGTGCTTTCCCGTCCAAAATATATCTAACCCTTGCCAAGATCGATATATTTTTTGCTATTTTGTGCTGAATCTATCTGATATGAGATTTCCAGGAGAATTTGTCATCAACTATGACACCTAGAAATTTAATTTCATATACTCGTTCTATATTAGCTCCCCCAATTTTCAATTGAGAAGCTATAAGTTTGGATTAAAGTGTCTAAGTGATAATTTACTATGCATCTAGTGATAATATTAAAAAATGTGAAAGATTTCGCTCATATTAGTGAGCAAACAAATATTAAACTCCTGAATCTACAGTTGCACTACAGTTTCAGCTCATCGTTTAGTGTCCGTTTTGTAAATGTTTGGTTCAGTCAGAGCAGCAGCTTTCAGCAGAACAAGCTCTGAAAGGCCACAGTCCACGACATGCTGGTGAATACATAGGAGCTCTTAGCAGCTGATATCTCCCTCAACAGAATATTAGAAACACCTGTGACTATAATTCAGCTCAGTACAACACTAACACCAACTACGGCCACGATGTGGAAACATACAATTTAATCGACACGCCTTCATCCTGAACAGTGGCAGAATCCTTGTCATGAATTGGATTAGACTGTACAGGTGCATCTCCCTGGAAAAGTTGCACTGCTTTATGTAAAACTCATTTATTTTACCTTGTTGCAAGTTTAAAGTTAAACTCAAATCTAAATCTGCATGTAATCCTAATTTGTCTGATTTGAAGACAGGTACAGGATGATGCCGTAAGCAACCACAGCACCCTAAACACTAATGTTTTGCAGGCTGACGGAGAAGAAGAGGAGGGAGAAGCTGAGGCAGCAGGTGGCAGCAAAACGCAACTAACCCTCCCACCCAACAGAGAGCGCCCAACTCCAACACAACTGGTGCCTGACACCTGCTGCCACCAGTGCTGTGCAGTGATGGCCTCAAAGAACCAGCAGTGACATGCAATCTTCCTTCATAATAAAGTGCGGGATTTTACAGCACCAGGAGGAAGTGACAAACAGAAGCATCTCATGGACAACTCACACAACTAAGCTATAAAAACAATCAGACTTCAGTCTGAAAAATGCCGAGAGTGAAATGGAAGCTAGTTAGAGCCAAAATAATTCAATTAATGGATCAATGGAAAATTAATCAAGAACAGTTTTCAAAGTTTCAGCCAAACATTTGCTGCTTTTCTTTGTGTTATCTTATAACAAGCTAATCATTTTGGGCCAGCTGGTCTGAAAAACAAGCTACATTGTGCTGCAGGAATTAACAGGTATTATTCACTATTTTCTGGCATTTTGGTACCAAAGGAGCATTTATTTATCAAAAAGCTAAACAGTCTAATAACTAATTAAATGAGTAGAACTATTATTTGTCACTTCATGGCAGTGAAAGTCTGCCACTTATAACTTTTCTGGCAACAGAACAAGAAGTCAAAAGCAACTGAAAATGTTAATTTTGAATGATTAATGTTCTCCAGTACAGATTAAAATAAATAATCTGGCCTAGATGTGACCATCAGCTTCTTGACAAGTTTAGAAAATGGCATTTTTAATGTTGGTGATAAAAAGTGCTGCAAAACTCAAACATTTCAATAGATGGCTCTGGAAATTCAGTTTGAAGCTGATCAAATTCACTCTTACTGTGTTTCAGACCTTAGTAAGAAAAAAGGGAGAAGAAAACTCAGGTTACACAAGTGCATGGAATTAAAAAAAACTGGATGAAAAGTGGAGCAGGAGGGCACACGTAGCAAAAAAGAAATATCATGTATGTGCCTTTGATGTGGTGCTTTGTACAGTTACGCTAATGTTTAAGGCGTCAGAAAAGGCACTGCTTCTGCCACAACTGAAACTGTGGTTGTTTAAAGGAAAACTAAAACTGGAGGAGTCCATTCGCTTGGCTCGGACCACTACTCATGAAATGGGTTTAAAGGGATTTATAGACTGAGGTCTGTTCCTCTAATTGAGA